ACTAATTATCAATGTGTGGTCATGATTGACATTTGTAATGTGATTGACAATTCTAATAACGTTTTTGAGGTTTCACTGACAATACTTATTAAAGATAATTTTAAGCGTGAAAACTGTCCAGATTTTGATGTCATGATATGTAAATTAAAAATTGTTATTTTACGGTGATAATCTTGTTTTCTTGTGCCCAATAATGCATAATTTCATTTGATAAACACGTTTAGATTGAATGGTAATTTATAATCAGTCACAAGAACGTCGAATCTGAATCATTTGAAAAAAACACGGGGGTGCTTAACTTTTTTCCAGGTGTATATGATTCACCAAAAGAGAACAAAAATTGCTTTTTAATGAATCGTACGTCCCTTCTGTAATTTGAGATGACCTGGTTGCTAGGATACTCAACTCACAGTCTGTGGGTTATGGTTTCCAATCCCTTCACCAAACAAATTTACACTTTCAGCTGTGGGGCGTTATAATTTCATGGTCAATTCGATTAGAGTAGCTAAAGAGTTGATGATGGGTGGTTTTGACTCTCTGGCTTCCCGCTTGTCTGTCAATTCTAAAATAGAGACAGCTAGCGTAGATAGCCCTCGAGTATCTTTGCGCGAAATTCAAACCAAAAACAATTACATTTTAACTAAAGGGGTGGAAACCACGTAGTATGGTCTCCCACTACAGTTTCATGAGTTTTATCTCAACCTACTGGCAATCTTTGTACAGCTCATTCATATTTAGATGATAAATTGCAGAAAATTGTAAGACGAAAAACTAAACTCAAAGCACTTAAATATCACACATCATTATAGTTAAAAATTTGAAAATAAATATGATTAACATTTAAAACATTTGCAGATGTGTATGTATGTATCTCTCTCTCTCTTTCTCTATATATAAATATATATTACCAATGAGGTAAGAATCAACACACTACAACACAGTCTTGTTACGCACGTAATAACTGTCTATAAGTTACGGTATTATAAATTAATTTTTGTTCTTAGAGCAATTACTTATCTCAACTTTGCTGAACTATTTATTGCACTTCTACGGAATATCCTCGTACTAGATCTAATTTAACGTCGTTATTACATGCGCTTTATCTCTTTATTATTACACAACGCTTCAAAAAAAAAAAAATCGTCACCTTGCGGCTGACTAAAAATTTATAACGAGTGCCCTTTTAGGTATTTATTGTACTCAAGGTTGGCCGGTTAAAAGATAAAATGGCGAGGTTACTGAGAAGTCCTGTGTTCATTTTAAAAAATCTGTCTCATTCCTATGGGGGTTTGGTTTGTATAATTTTTATATGTTATTTGTACATGTTTTTTTGTGAATTATATTAAAATATTAGGATTTTAATGCTGTTCTTAAAATAAAAAAATGCACTGTGGTAAAATGTTCAACGTGTGACATTGGTATTTTTCCCTTGCCGTCTTACTCTTATTCTTAATTAAGTTAATAATTTTGTCATTCCATTTAGTTTCACATAATCTCTTCATTTGACGAAAATGGGTGAAAAAAAGTCCAAAATATTGTTCCGTGTTGTTTTATTGCTATGCAGAAAGTTATGCACGTTCATTAACAAATCAAATAATGTATAATACTAAAATTTAAATTATAATTTACACTTTGATACCAAACTTGTTGACTTGAATTCATAAAATAGTCGTTCAACAAAATTTTGAATGTAAGTCAACAAAAGCAATGACATGGATGCATGATCTATCTGGAAAGGGTTAAGGGAACTGATAGTACTGCTGCATTTTTATATCTTCAGCCTAGATATTTTTATTTTCTAGCATTATAGTTGGCCTGTGGAACTGTTTGCTTTCAGATGTGGTGGAAGCAGTAAACTTAAGGGAGTTTTAGGGAAGACTTGATAAATGTTTGAATAATTAGGGCTGGCATTGATCTTTATTTTCTAAGGGGTAGGTGTGGCATAAATGTTACATTGAATGAAAGTGATAAAATGTATTTAATCTTATATGGTGTTTATTTCAAATAATTGCTGAAGTTTTAAATTTTACACAATATAGATTTGGTCAAAATATAAATGTGTCTGACTGGTACTAGTATAAGTATTAGTAAATCTATCTCATTATTTTGCATGCAAATTATTATTCATTGCTTTATATTTGTTGTTTTTTTGTATATATTAAGAATGTTACAATCAATTTCACATTACTTATGGTGTGAAAAATTCATTTGAACTGGGTAAAACATTATCATTAACTAGTTTCTTACCAGAATCTTGGATGCTAGATGTGTTGTAAATTTGGTAGGCCCCAGTATCACATACCCTATTTTTGTCATTGTAGTCATTCTTTGACTCTTCTTATGCTGTTAAAACTAAACTTTCAATAATAATTTTATCCATCTCCAAAGCATAATATTGTTAGAAACCATTTCTGTCCATATGTAATGTAAGAGCAGAAAAAATTAAATAAAAAATTGGTTAAATGACAAATTCCAATATGATGCAGAAATAACATGGGTACTTCCATTTTATTTATTTATTCTTCTCAAAACTATTTTTAAAGCTACAAATTTAACATGTATGCAACAGTACTCTTGGTTGGGTACATGTGGCTCTTTATGTTAATTGTTTGATAATATTACATATAACTGAACAGTTATTTCTTTTTATGAATAACCTTTGACCAGTACCAACTTGTTTGTTTCAATTTGAAATGTAGAGGAACACATCAATCCTTAGTAGGGTTAATGGTCATAGAGAAGAATGGATGGTATACTATACTGTGGAATATGCTCTTCACATTGCTACTCAGTGTTGTGTGGAATGACAATGTGGTGATTGTTTGATTTCATTATATGTCAGTGCTTGTGTGTCAACTTGTATCTCGCAAAGTATATTTTATTTTCAGTATTGTTAGGTGTTTTTTAACTCTATAAACATCTAATATTTTTGCCAATTATATCTTGTGCAATCCCTATGCAAGTACCTTTTGCTCATTAAAAGTTATTCCATATGTGCTTTACTTCATTGACGCTCAGACTGTATCTCCCAAAGTGTGTATTGCTAATGCTATTTGCTTCCATTTTTTTCTTTTGCACAAATATAAGTGAACTTTTGAACTTGAAATTTAAGATGTCTTTTTTTTTATTTGTTCTATTATTCTAATAGTCTTTATCTCTCTGCAACAAGTTATTCATTTGGGATATCATATCAGTATAAAGTACAAAAGTGTACATGAAAGTAGAAATAGTCTGGGATTCCTCTATTTTGATGTATAGAGATCTATTAAGTGGGCATTATACTTGCATAGTTATTGTCAAGGAAACACTGCATTGGTGCACATGGTGTTTTAGAAAGGTGTTGGATTTATTTGCCAGTGTAGTGTTTGCAAGCCAGTCTTATGCCTTATTGGTGCACTCATCCTGGATGATGGTATCCTAGATGATGTTGTGTACCTAGACTTCCAGAAGGTTTTTGATAATGTTTTTCATGTATGTAGTTTGAAGAGTAATTTGTATTCTTATGTATTTGGAGAAGAACCTTAAAGGTCAACTGAAAATTGGGTTAAAGGTAGAAAACAGAGTTGTAATAAGTCCACTGTTTGGGTTGGGAAAAGGTAACCAGTTGGTCTTGATAACCCTTTTGCAATGGGAACCCCTTTAAATTTAATGCTTTTTTGTGCAAGTCATTGTGTTACATTCAAAATGTCATTCTTTGTGTACAAGATACTTATGAGCTTCAACAAAATCTTGCCTGTTTTTGAAAGGATACGTTAAGAAATATCTGAGTTACCACATATATTGTTGTATCGGTGAAATTCGTGACTCAATTTCTGCAAATTGCATGAGCTTGAGATGAAAAGGTTAATGGTCTATCTGCAGACTTTTGTTATTCATTACCTACATGTCAACAAAGAGCTACCACATGGTTTGTCACCTAAACAGATCACTATACCTGTCTATAGTGTCTTTTTCATGCAACAGCAGTCTCTCCTAATGGAGAAACATGCAATGTCCTTGGTGCTTCATCCCCTCATGAATAACAAAGACCAGAGAAATTTGGTTGTTTTCTTGATTGACATTCGATATTAAGAGCAAAAACTGAAGTACACTGAAACTTTGTAAAATATATAGTAAGTAAGAGGTTAGAAAATACACAATATGCCCATGTATTTTTTTTTCCAGGGTTTATTAACGGTAAACTTTGCTGTAAGAGCGGCTTTAAATTAGGACTAGACAGTGATAAGGGCTAGGAAAAACTAAATGCAGAAAAAGTACGGAGAAGTGTAGTGCCTGAATAAAGTACAGAAATATTCTGAAATGGTACTATCTCGTCTCACTCAAATCTATCTTGATTCTGGTCTGCCCTCTAAGCATTAGTTTAAAAAAAAAAAAAATTCTACAGCACACCAGTCTTTATATCCCATCAGTTTTGCACCGTTTCAGAACATGTGTTTATCTTGTGACTACTCTCCACCATTCACCCTGTCATCTATACTCGTAAAACTAGCTTCCTCTACTATTCTAGAACAATTCTCACTTTTTTGATTGGTATTCTAGTGTGTAGTCATGTGTTTTAACTTGCTCTCCATGTGACAAAACTTTGATTGTGCTTGATCACAAATTTATATTGGTTTCGACTTCTTGTTTGATTTCCATTGCTTCTATTCATTACTTTTCTGTTTTCCAAATTCTAATTTGCTCATATGAATTCAAGATCTAATATGGTGGATGATATTTCCACGATAGTCGACAGTGGTTCTGACACAAGTCTCCAGATCTCAGGGTTGACGATGTCTGCTGGAGAAGTACAGGCATTAGTTTGAGAAGAGTTTGTGTGTGTGTTATGTTTGGCTGACAATTTTTTTTCTACTGCACCTTCCACCTGTTACCATGCTTCCATGCAATCTTCTGGGTTATGTATTGTTCTTTTTCCCAGGATATCCGTGGTAAGTTTTTCAGCATGTATTCCTCACTCCTAGTAGGTATACCCATGTTTAGCGAGTTTATGTGAGGCTGTGTGGATTGACTTAATTACCTTGCATGATAATTTAATATCTTCTCTGCTCAGTATTTGGTAAGTTAATTTTTATAATTCTTTTACCATCTAAGTGACTTCAGTTTAAATTTGTGTTTAATTTGATTATTATTTTGTTTTTGTTTAATTTTTGCCATCTGTATGGGTTTTGCACGATAGTTACTGTTTGAAAATTGTAACTTTGAACAATTTTGTGTCTATTGGTTCATTATTTGAACTTCCTTTCACTGTTAGTTCCTTTTTCTTTAATACTAGTCACATCTAATTGGGGATTACGTTTGAGTCAAATTTTGTTATTGTTAACTGGGTGCTTTTTCATTCTCATGTTCTTCAGGGTAGGGTTTACTTTCGTGTTAACTGGGTGCTTTTTCATTCTCATGTTCTTCAGTGTAGGGTTTACTTTCGTGTCCTTTGTATTATCGGTTCTTTGAGTGGACTTGTAAGTTTAATATTTACGTATTTTTATCTTCTAAATTCCTTTATGTCTTTGTACTTTAGGTGTTGCTTATTGTTTTAGGTCAAATTTTGTAGTTTTGCAAGCTTATTTTTTTTTATGTATTGTGTTGACTACAAATGTTCAGATTTTGTTTGTTTGTCAGTAATCAGTACATTCTCTAAGTATGTTTATTTTGTTTATTTTTCACTATACTTCATGACAGTTCCGTGGGTTTTATGAAGGTTTCTGCTTTCAATTCACTTCCCAGATCTCCTTCCCTCTTCCTTGGGATTGTATCTCTTCCATCTTCCAGTCACCTTGCCTAGTCTGTTCATGACCTACTACACAAAGCGACTGTCGAACGGGTGGTACCCACTCTGACTCTGGATGACCAAATCATTGTTACAGATGCTTTTTTCATACTACAACTGCTCCAATGTTGCATTTTTTTTGGTTGATCCATGAGGGTTGTGTTTTCCAGTTACAGGTACTGCCGCTTGGTCCATCTTCGGCTCCACGTGTTTTATCGAGTGGTATGCTCTTTTGCCCTTCATTTTCACACATTCGGTCTTTGGACTCTTCTTATCATGGATGATTGGCTCCTGCTTGCCTCTTCCTGTGCCCAGTCAATAGTGCCTGCTTACTTCTTTGGGAAGCTAATCAGTTGGAGAAGTCCATTCTTAACCTCACTCAATATCTTATTTCATTGGGGTTTTTTCTTCATTTCCCATCTTTGTCAGGCCCAGCCTTCTTCACTTCAGCTCAGAGATATGGAGTAGGTAGTCTTAATGGCCTTACCCTCACCTTTTCTTGCTGCATAAAGATTCCGTCTTTTATGG